TTGTTGGCTGCCTCATGTACCTGATGACCTGCACACGACCTGACCTTGCATATCCTCTGAGCATTCTTGCACGCTATGTTGCTCCTGGGAGACACAGACCAGAGCACATGGCTGCAGCGAAGAGGGTATTGCGCTACCTGTGCAGTACGTCGGGCATGGGGCTTGTGCTTGGAGGGCGGAGTCCAGTGGTCCTTACCGGCCACGCGGACGCTTCTTGGGCTGACGACCAGGCTACGCAGCGGTCGTCACAGGGTTACACCTTCAGCCTTGGTTCCGGCTCTGTCTCGTGGCGGTCTACTCGCTCGTCTTCGGTTCTCGGCTCCAGTTGTGAGGCTGAGATCTACGCCGGGGCCATGGCTGCACAGGAGCTTCGCTGGCTCACCTACCTGCTGACTGACCTTGGAGAGCCGCCTCGTTCTCCTCCAGTGCTGTACGTAGACAACAAGGCCATGCTGGCCTTGTGTCGAGAGCAGCGCTTGGAACACAGAACGAAGCACATTGCTCTCCGCTACTTCCTTGCTCGTGAGCTGCAGCAGCGTGGTCAGTTGCGACTTGCGTACGTGGCCTCTGAGGCCAACACTGCTGATGTGTTCACCAAGGCACTCGCGCCTTGTGATCATCAGCGCTTTTGCACCCAGCTGGGTCTTGTGTCTGTCTTGCCTCACTTGCTCTCCTCTTGACTTTACTTGTACTGTGACATATATATATACCTGCTCTTGCTTGTCTAGTTTTATATATATGTCTGTACTCCTGCATGTGAACTGGCCTCTGGCCCTGCTCTTGTGCTCGGACTGTGTGGTGACTTTGTGATCCACCCTGAGCTTGCTTTGCTTTGCTTGACTGGTCTTGTGACCCCTTGTTCTCCCCCACTTTGCCTATGGGGGTGTGTCAAACATTATGTATGTTATACTTGTGTAGGCTACAGTGGGTTAGCCTATAGGGGGTACACAATTCTAGGGTTTACTACTTGTACTCTTTTCACTTCTAGTTGATCCATTCCTGTTCGCTTATTCTCACAAGTGCAACCCTCTTCTTTCTTCTAAACTTTTCACATCAAATACCTACTCAACTGCGCGTGCGGAGAATCTTGGGTCGTCCAGTAATGCAGTAAGTGGCACCGCGGGTCTTGAATCCGTGACACAAACGACCTCCCTTCCACATACATTTGACGAGACGCATTCACCTTATTGAGGGCTTCAAAACGGGAGCACCATTAGAACGTTGCAGTGTAAACACATAATCAAAAAGTGTTTCCATCAGATTGAAACATGTTAATTTCATTGGTTCATTCTCTAGACCATAAACAACATTTTTTCTTTACATGACTGGGTGAGAGCAGCTGCAGCGTGGAGAATGTTGGCTGCTCGCTCTCACTACTCTAGCGCGAAAACAGATGCGCATCTCCGTGAACTTGAATAACGAGATAGTAATCTCGTAACTATCCCTCCTCGGTATTGCGTCACGCAACGCCACGTCACTACAGGATGTGCCACGCATCGCCACGTTACTATGGGTTGCGTCACGCAACGCCACGTCCCTACGGGATGCGCCACGCATTGCCACGTCACCACGGGATGCACCATGCATCGCCACATCACCACGCGCAGCGCAACGGATTGCCACGTCACTATGGGTTGCGTCGCGCAATGCCACATCCCTAGGGGATGCGCCGCGCATCACCATGTCACCACGGGATGCACCATGCATCGCCACGTCACCACACGCAGCACAACGCATTGCCACATCACTATGGGTCGCATCACGCAACGCCAAGTCACTGCGGGATGCGCCACGCATTGCCACGTCACCAAGGGATGCGCCATGCATCGCCACGTCACCACGGGCAGTGCCACGCGTCGCCACGTCCCAATGGGTTGCGTTACGCAATGCCATATCACTACAGGATGCACCACGCATCGCCACGTCACCACGGGATGCACCACGCATCGCCACGTCATCACGAGCAGCGTGACACATTGCCACGTCACTATGGGTTGCGTCACGCAATGCCACGTCAAAATGGGATCCGCCACGCATCGCCACTCCACCGCAGGCAGCGCGACGCATCCAGACGTCACTATAGGTTGCGTCACGCAACGCCACGTCACTACGGGACGCCCCACGCATCCCCGCGTCACCACGGGCAGCGCTACGCACCGCCACGTCACTATGCGTTGCGTCACACAATGCCACATCACCACGGGATGCGCCACGCATCGCCACATCGCCACGGGATGCGCCATGCATCGCCACATCACCACGGGCTGCGCCACGCATCGCCACGTCACAATGGGTTGCGTCACGCAATGCCACATCACTACAGGATGCGCCACGCATAGCCACGTCACCACGGGATGCACCACGCATCCCCACGTCATCACGAGCAGCGTGACACATTGCCACGTCACTATGGGTTGCGTCACGCAATGCCACGTCGCTATGGGATGCGCCACACGTCGCCACGTCACCGCAGGCAGCGCGACGCATCGCGACGTCACTATGGGTTGCGTCGCGCAACGCCACGTCACTACGGGATGCGCCACGGATCGCCACATCACCTCGGGCAGCGCTACGCACCGCCACGTCACTATGGGTTGCGTCACGCAATGCCACGTCACCACGGGATGCGCCATGCATCGCCACATCGCCACGGGATGCGCCATGCATCGCCACGTCACCACGAGCAATGCCACGCATCGTCACGTCACTATGGGTTGCGTCACGCAACGCCACGTCACTACAGGATGTGCCACGCATCGCCACGTCACTATGGGTTGCGTCACGCAACGCCACGTCCCTACGAGATGCGCCACGCATCGCCACATCACCACGGGATGCACCATGCATCGCCACGTCACCACGCGCAGCGCAACGCATCGCCACGTCACTATGGGTTGCGTCGCGCAACGCCACGTCCCTACGGGATGCGCCGCGCATCGCCATGTCACCACAAGATGCACCATGCATCGCCACGTCACCACGCGCAGCGCAAAGCATTGCCACGTCACTATGGGTTGCGTCACGCAACACGAAACCCCTACGGGATGCGCCACCAACGCCACGTCACCACGGGATGCGCCATGCATCGCCACGTCACCACGGCCAGTGCCACGCATCGCCACGTCACAATGGGTTGCGTCACGTAATGCCACGTCACTACAGGATGCGCCACGCATCGCCACGTCACCACGGGATGCACCACGCATCGCCACGTCATCACGAGCAGCGTGACACATTGCCATGTCACTATGGGTTGCATCACGCAATGCCACGTCACCATGGGATGCGCCACGCATCGCCACGTCACCGCTGCAAGCGCGACGCATCGCGACGTCACTATGGGTTGCGTCACGCGACGCCACGTCACTACGGGATGCGCCACGCATTGCCACGTCACCACGGGCAGCGCTACGCACAACCACGTCACTATGGGTTGCGTCACGCAATGCCGCGTCACCACGGGATGCGCCACGCATCGCCACGTCGCCACGGGATGCGCCATGCATCGCCATGTCACCACGGGCTGCGCCACGCATCGCCACTTCACTATGGGTTGCGTCACGCAATGCCACGTCCCTACGGGATGCGCCACGCATCGCCACGTCACCACGGGATGCACCATGCATCCCCACGTCACCACGCACAGCGCAAGGGATTGCCACGTCACTATGGGTTGCGTCACGCAACGCCAAGTCACTACGGGATGCGCCACGCATCGCCGCGTCACCACAGGATGCGCCACGCATCGCCACGTCACTACGGGCAGTGCCACGCATCGCCACGTCATAATGGGTTGCGTCACGCAATTCCACATCACTACAGGATGCGCCACGCATTGCCACGTCACCACTGGATGCACCACGCATCGCCACGTCACCACAAGCAGCGTGACACATTGCCACCCCACTATGGGTTGCGTCACGCAATGCCACGTCACTACGGGATGCGCAACGCATCGCCACGTCACCACAGGCAGGGCGACGCATCATGACGTCACTATGGGTTGCGTCACGCAACGCCATGTCACTACGGGATGTGCCACGCATCGCCACATCACCACGGGCAGCGCTACGCACCGCCACGTCACTATGGGTTGCGTCACGCAATGCCACGTCAACACGGGATGCGCCACGCATCGCCACGTCGCCATGGGATGCGCCATGCATCGCCACGTCACCACGGGTTGCGCCATGCATCACCACGTCACTATGGGTTGCGTCAAGCAATGCCTCGTCACTACAGGATGCGCCACGCATCTCCACGTCACTACGGCATGCGCCACACATCGCCACGTCACCACAAGATGCGCCATGCATCGCCACAGGTTGCGCCATACATGGCCACGTCACTATGGGTTGCGTCACGCAACGCCACGTCATTACGGGATGCGCCATGCATCGCCACGTCACCATTGGATGCGCCATGCATCGCCACGTCACCATGGGCAGCGCTACACATCGCCATATGTTAACAAACCGTCAACCTCGCGAGTCTCTCACAGCAACTCTACAAACCCAGATGGTAACTGACGAAGTCACACGCGGGAAACGGAAACTGTTGCGTCCCAGGTCGGCTACTAATTCAGGCTTTGCATAGGGTCGCCTGCTGTGTCTGATGAGTACAGTACAGTAAAAGGTTGTCTCTCGACTCCAGGTGAAGCCGCCAGAGAACATCCTGTGCGGGCAGTGGTCACGAAAAACTGCTTGTGTCTGCCCGAGACAAGCCTCCTGAAGGTGGTTGTTTGTCATACAGATCCTTTGAGTTTGAGATCAGGTTCAGGGTATTTCATCATCAGAAAAAGCGGTAAAGAGCTGAGAGTGTTTACGGACTATTAACTGGAAGCTGTGAAAGTTCCAGCTAAATGTGAAATACTAGCAGTTATTCACCATAAAGCCATCCATTCCTTCTGCAAATTGCATAAAAGGATTTAAGGAAAATAACAAAAATGGTGGCGCACGCTCATAGCCACCGCAGCATAATGTTGGTGCAATAGAAATCTGTCATGTCGTGCGGCGGAGAATGTTTCGAATCACTCGCCCCACCTCCTCTCCATAATCTTCCTGTGCATGATGCCCCACCTGCTCGGAAAGGAATTCATGCAAGGAAAGAAGAAGAAAACAACAGCGAAGAAAAATTAAGATGCGGCGGGATCAAGAAAAAAGGGGCACAAAGAGCAGGATATAGTTGGCACAACACATGTGGGGACAGCTCAATGAAAGTTAAGGGATGCTTTTGCAACCTTACAAAACATCTTGTCCTCATTTTCTCAACACTCACCTCGTCTAGAGTCACAAAAACAGCCCCTGCTAAGCCTCCCAACCAATCCCCATCAAAGGACAGCCAGCGGTCCTTCATGCCCCACATGACCGTGGCTGCAGAGGAGGGCTGGCGTGACAGTTGCCTCACCCATGCATCATTCCCTGTACACCCATGCATCATTCCCTGTACACCCATGCATCATTCCGTCTGCACTCATCTCGACTAGAGTCCTTGTGAGCGATTTTTTAGAGTTCTCAAAAATCACTCTGGAGGGCTGGCGTGACAGTGGCCTCACCCATGCATCAATCCCTCTGCACTCATCTCGAGTAGAGTCACAAGCGCCGCCCCTGCTGCTCAACACACTTCACGAACTCCTTGGAAGGACAGCCAGCGGACATTCATGCCGCAGATGACAGAGGATGAGGAGGAAGGTTGGCTTGACCCCAAGAACGGGCACTATGGGTGAGGCGACTTTTGAGTCGACTCAAAAGTCACCTAGATGACAGTGGATGAGGAGGAAGGCTGGCTTGAACCCACGCTTCTCGAACGCCGTCAAAAGACTGCCAGCGGTCCTCCTTCATGCCCCACATGAGGAGGAGGGTTGGCGTGACACTGACTCTTGTTTCCTCTATCTGCTCTCACCTCGTCCAGAGTCACTAGAACAGGATCCCCGTCAAAAGACTGCCCTACAAGTGTCAGGATCCCCGTCAAAAGGCTGCCCTACAAGCGTCAGGATCCCCGTCAAAAGACTGCCAGCGGTCCTCCTTCATCCCCCACATGAGGAGGGTTGGCGTGACACTGAGTCGTTTTCATAACTTACTACCAATTGAGGGTCCTCCTTCCTCTGTCTGTATGTACTGACACGTGGCATGTGCTCATCATGTGGGGCATGTACGAGCCACTCACTCACCTCGTCCAGAGTCACTAGAACGGCCCCGGCTGCCCTGCACGCTTCCCTGACCCCGTCAAACGTCTGCTAGCGGTCCTTCATGCCCCACATGACTTTAGAGAGACCTCACTACCAATTCCTCTCTCAATACTCACCTCGTCCAGAGTCACTAGAACGGCCCCGGCTGCCCTGCACGCTTCCCTGACCCCGTCAAATGCCTGCCAGTGGTCCTTCATGCCCCACATGACTTTAGAGAGACCTCACTACCAATTCCTCTCTCTATACTCACCTCGTCCAGAGTCACTAGAATGGCCCCGGATGCCCTGCACGTCTCCCTGACCCCATCAAACGACTGCCAGCGGTCCTTCATGCCCCAAATAACGGTGGAAGAGGAGGAGGGCTGGGCAGACACAGCAGCGAGGGCCTTGGAGACCAGAGGGAGTGACGCCTGGTAAGGGGGGGGGATAAAGAGAGAGGAAGGGCACAAGCAGGCATTATCAAGCCAAAGCCCAGTGGCGGCAGCAGCGGGGACTGAGAGGGGAGGGCAGAGACGGCTGAGAGGGCCTAAGGTGCCCTCCCTCCAAATGCTGGGATGGGCTGGGAGGGATGGGCTGGGAGGGAAGTGGCAGCAGCAGCATTATCAAGCCAAAGTCGAGTGGCAGCAGCAGCATTATCAAGCCAAAGTTGAGTGGCAGCAGCAGCATTATCAAGCCAACGTCGAGTGGCAGCAGCAGCATTATCAAGCCAAAGTCGAGTGGCAGCAGCAGCATTATCAAGCCAAAGTCGAGTGGCAGCAGCAGCATTATCAAGCCAAAGTCGAGTGGCAGCAGCAGCATTATCAAGCCAAAGTCGAGTGGCAGCAGCAGCATTATCAAGCCAAAGTCGAGTGGCGGCAGCAGCGGTGGTTGATGCCCCCAGATGATAGGAGGAGAGCTGGCTTGAGGAGGAGGGACAGAGAGGGCCTTGGCGACCACCAGGGGGAGTGACAGCTGGGAGGGAAGAGGGAGGGAGAGAGGGGGGGAACAAGAGGGGGCATGAAATGACTGCCAGCGGTCCTTCATGCCCCAGATGACAGTGGGTGAGGAGGAGAGCTGGCATTAAGCGGCCGAGAGGCCCTTGGCGACCACCAGGGGGAGTGACGGCTGGGAGGGGCAGAGTGGGGAGCGGGGAAGAATAAAGCCAAAGCTCTGAGCGGTGGCAGCAGCAGCAGCAGCGGTGGTTGATGCCCCCAGATGACAGGAGGAGAGCTGGCATTAAGACAGCAGGAGGGCTGGCTTGAGAGGAGGGCTGGCTTGAGGAGGAGGGCTGGCTTGAGGAGGAGGGCTGGCTTGAGAGGAGGCCTGGCTTGAGACTGCAGATCTGGCCTTGGCGACCACCAGGGGGAGTGACGGCTTGGAGGGGGATCGAAGCAAAGCCCGATGCGCCACTGGCCCGGGTGATGGCTGTGAGGTGAGAGCACAGCCCCATGCGCCACTGGCCCGGGTGATGGCTGTGAGGTGAGAGCACAGCCCCATGCGCCACTGGCCCGGGTGATGGCTGTGAGGTGAGAGCACAGCCCCATGCGCCACTGGCCCGGGTGATGGCTGTGAGGTGAGAGCACAGCCCCATGCGCCACTGGCCCGGGTGATGGCTGTGAGGTGAGAGCACAGCCCCATGCGCCACTGGCCCGGGTGATGGCTGTGAGGTGAGAGCACAGCCCCATGCGCCACTGGCCCGGGTGATGGCTGTGAGGTGAGAGCACAGCCCCATGCGCCACTGGCCCGGGTGATGGCTGTGAGGTGAGAGCACAGCCCCATGCGCCACTGGCCCGGGTGATGGCTGTGAGGTGAGAGCACAGCCCCATGCGCCACTGGCCCGGGTGATGGCTGTGAGGTGAGAGCACAGCCCCATGCGCCACTGGCCCGGGTGATGGCTGTGAGGTGAGAGCACAGCCCCATGCGCCACTGGCCCGGGTGATGGCTGTGAGGTGAGAGCACAGCCCCATGCGCCACTGGCCCGGGTGATGGCTGTGAGGTGAGAGCACAGCCCCATGCGCCACTGGCCCGGGTGATGGCTGTGAGGTGAGAGCACAGCCCCATGCGCCACTGGCCCGGGTGATGGCTGTGAGGTGAGAGCACAGCCCCATGCGCCACTGGCCCGGGTGATGGCTGTGAGGTGAGAGCACAGCCCCATGCGCCACTGGCAACGTAGGGCCGGCAGTAAGGGAAAAAGCTCTACCCTCCTTGTGCGGGACAGCCCACCTTGCTCACCTTGAGCTCCTTTTGTTGTCACTCATGGTTGGAATGGCAGCAGTACTAGTGAAATGCTTTAGAGCAGCAGTACTAGCAAGTAAAGAAAAAGAGTGAAAAATACCCTAGCTAAGACAACAGCCCACCTTGCTCACCTTGAGCTCCTTTTGAAAGGCCCTCGTTATGGCTGTGAGGGCACAGCCCCATGCGCCATGGGATAGGTGCAGTTGCTGTGAGCTCAAAACCCATCCCATCCGCTCTGCGTACCTTGAGATCCTTCTGAAACGCTCGGGTGATGGATGTGAGTGCAAACCCCGAGGCACCACTGGCGAGGTAGGGCCGGCGGTACACCATTGCATCCTCCTCGTCTATCAGGTAGCAGCCGGCCTCCTCTAGTACCCGATCGCTAGCACGTAGCGGGTCCTGCCAGCAGGGGATATGAGAGGGGCAAGGGGAGTAAGGTAGGGCCAGCGGTACACCATTGCATCCTCCTCGTGGATCAGGTAACAGCCGGCCTCCTCCAGCACTCGATCGCTCGCACGTAGCGGGTCCTGCCAGCAGTTGGAGAACGAGGAGCAAGGGGAGAGCCGACTTTTGAGGCGCCTCAAAAGCGGGTCCTGCCAGCAGTTGGAGAACGAGGAGCAAGGGGAGAGCCGACTTTTGAGGCGCCTCAAAAGCGGGTCCTGCCAGCAGTTGGAGAACGAGGAGCAAGGGGAGAGCCGACTTTTGAGGCGCCTCAAAAGCGGGTCCTGCCAGCAGTTGGAGAACGAGGAGCAAGGGGAGAGCCCAGACGGTGAATGGGTGGCGAGGTGAAAAAAGGAGTGTTTTGAGACGTCTCAAAACAAGGGGAGAGCCCAGAAGGTGAATGGGTGGCGAGGTAGGGTCGGCGGTACACCACTGCATCCTCCTCGTCGATTAGATAGCACCCCCCTTCCTCCAGCACTCGATCACTGGCTCTTAGTGGATCCTGGCATGTGGTGAAGGGTGGACGTGAGGGGAGAGAGAGATTGACGGGATGGTAAAGGGGTGAGGCACTAGCGAGGTAGGGCCGGCGGCACACCATGGCGTCCTCCTCGTCTATTAGGTAGCACCCCGCTTCCTCCAGCACCCTGTCACTGGCTCTCAGAGGGTCCTGCATTTGGGGAAATGGGAGGCGTAAGGAGGGCAAGGGAGGTGGGACACTGCCAAGGTAGGGCCGGCGGCACACCATGGCATCCTCCTCGTCTATTAGGTAGCACCCTGCTTCCTCCAGCACCCTGTCACTGGCTCTCAGAGGGTCCTGTCATCAGAAAAAAATGAAGGTAGATTAAGGGGGGAGTGAGGACGCTACACCGTTGCATCCTCCTCAACGATCAGGTAACACCCTGCTCCCTCCAGCAATCAATCGCTGGCTCTCAGAGGGTCCTGCATGATCGTGTGACGAGGGAGAGTGCAGCAGAGGGGAGCGGACAGAGGGAGGTGGGACAGTGCCAAGGTAGGGTGGGCGATACACAATTGCATCCTCCTCACTGATTAGATAACAGCCGTGCTTCCTCCAGCACCCAATCACTGGCTCTCAGTGGGTCCTGCCACGAGCTGGAGGGGGAGCGGGAGGACAATGAGGGGAGTAAGGGGAGAGGGGTGGGCGGTACACCAGGGTAGGGATGAGATTACAGCCGGAACACCATGGCATCCTCCTCATTGATTACAGCCGGAACACCATGGCATCCTCCTCATTGATTACAGCCGGAACACCATGGCATCCTCCTCATTGATTACAGCCGGAACACCATGGCATCCTCCTCATTGATTACAGCCGGAACACCATGGCATCCTCCTCATTGATTACAGCCGGAACACCATGGCATCCTCCTCATTGATTACAGCCGGAACACCATGGCATCCTCCTCATTGATTACAGCCGGAACACCATGGCATCCTCCTCATTGATTACAGCCGAAACACCATGGCATCCTCCTCATTGATTACAGCCGGAACACCATGGCATCCTCCTCATTGATTACAGCCGGAACACCATGGCATCCTCCTCATTGATTACAGCCGGAACACCATGGCATCCTCCTCATTGATTACAGCCGGAACACCATGGCATCCTCCTCATTGATTACAGCCGGAACACCATGGCATCCTCCTCATTGATTACAGCCGGAACACCATGGCATCCTCCTCATTGATTACAGCCGGAACACCATGGCATCCTCCTCATTGATTACAGCCGGAACACCATGGCATCCTCCTCATTGATTACAGCCGGAACACCATGGCATCCTCCTCATTGATTACAGCCGGAACACCATGGCATCCTCCTCATTGATTACAGCCGGTACACCATGGCATCCTCCTCATTGATTACAGCCGGAACACCATGGCATCCTCCTCATTGATTACAGCCGGAACACCATGGCATCCTCCTCATTGATTACAGCCGGAACACCATGGCATCCTCCTCATTGATTACAGCCGGAACACCATGGCATCCTCCTCATTGATTACAGCCGGAACACCATGGCATCCTCCTCATTGATTACAGCCGGAACACCATGGCATCCTCCTCATTGATTACAGCCGGAACACCATGGCATCCTCCTCATTGATTACAGCCGGAACACCATGGCATCCTCCTCATTGATTACAGCCGGAACACCATGGCATCCTCCTCATTGATTACAGCCGGAACACCATGGCATCCTCCTCATTGATTACAGCCGGAACACCATGGCATCCTCCTCATTGATTACAGCCGGAACACCATGGCATCCTCCTCATTGATTACAGCCGGAACACCATGGCATCCTCCTCATTGATTACAGCCGAAACACCATGGCATCCTCCTCATTGATTACAGCCGGAACACCATGGCATCCTCCTCATTGATTACAGCCGGAACACCATGGCATCCTCCTCATTGATTACAGCCGGAACACCATGGCATCCTCCTCATTGATTACAGCCGGAACACCATGGCATCCTCCTCATTGATTACAGCCGGAACACCATGGCATCCTCCTCATTGATTACAGCCGGAACACCATGGCATCCTCCTCATTGATTACAGCCGGAACACCATGGCATCCTCCTCATTGATTACAGCCGGAACACCATGGCATCCTCCTCATTGATTACAGCCGAAACACCATGGCATCCTCCTCATTGATTACAGCCGGAACACCATGGCATCCTCCTCATTGATTACAGCCGGAACACCATGGCATCCTCCTCATTGATTACAGCCGGAACACCATGGCATCCTCCTCATTGATTACAGCCGGAACACCATGGCATCCTCCTCATTGATTACAGCCGGAACACCATGGCATCCTCCTCATTGATTACAGCCGGAACACCATGGCATCCTCCTCATTGATTACAGCCGGAACACCATGGCATCCTCCTCATTGATTACAGCCGGAACACCATGGCATCCTCCTCATTGATTACAGCCGGAACACCATGGCATCCTCCTCATTGATTACAGCCGGAACACCATGGCATCCTCCTCATTGATTACAGCCGGAACACCATGGCATCCTCCTCATTGATTACAGCCGGAACACCATGGCATCCTCCTCATTGATTACAGCCGGAACACCATGGCATCCTCCTCATTGATTACAGCCGGAACACCATGGCATCCTCCTCATTGATTACAGCCGGAACACCATGGCATCCTCCTCATTGATTACAGCCGGAACACCATGGCATCCTCCTCATTGATTACAGCCGGAACACCATGGCATCCTCCTCATTGATTACAGCCGGAACACCATGGCATCCTCCTCATTGATTACAGCCGGAACACCATGGCATCCTCCTCATTGATTACAGCCGGAACACCATGGCATCCTCCTCATTGATTACAGCCGGAACACCATGGCATCCTCCTCATTGATTACAGCCGGAACACCATGGCATCCTCCTCATTGATTACAGCCGGAACACCATGGCATCCTCCTCATTGATTACAGCCGGAACACCATGGCATCCTCCTCATTGATTACAGCCGAAACACCATGGCATCCTCCTCATTGATTACAGCCGGAACACCATGGCATCCTCCTCATTGATTACAGCCGGAACACCATGGCATCCTCCTCATTGATTACAGCCGGAACACCATGGCATCCTCCTCATTGATTACAGCCGGAACACCATGGCATCCTCCTCATTGATTACAGCCGGAACACCATGGCATCCTCCTCATTGATTACAGCCGGAACACCATGGCATCCTCCTCATTGATTACAGCCGGAACACCATGGCATCCTCCTCATTGATTACAGCCGGAACACCATGGCATCCTCCTCATTGATTACAGCCGGAACACCATGGCATCCTCCTCATTGATTACAGCCGGAACACCATGGCATCCTCCTCATTGATTACAGCCGAAACACCATGGCATCCTCCTCATTGATTACAGCCGGAACACCATGGCATCCTCCTCATTGATTACAGCCGGAACACCATGGCATCCTCCTCATTGATTACAGCCGGAACACCATGGCATCCTCCTCATTGATTACAGCCGGAACACCATGGCATCCTCCTCATTGATTACAGCCGGAACACCATGGCATCCTCCTCATTGATTACAGCCGGAACACCATGGCATCCTCCTCATTGATTACAGCCGGAACACCATGGCATCCTCCTCATTGATTACAGCCGGAACACCATGGCATCCTCCTCATTGATTACAGCCGGAACACCATGGCATCCTCCTCATTGATTACAGCCGGAACACCATGGCATCCTCCTCATTGATTACAGCCGGAACACCATGGCATCCTCCTCATTGATTACAGCCGGAACACCATGGCATCCTCCTCATTGATTACAGCCGGAACACCATGGCATCCTCCTCATTGATTACAGCCGGAACACCATGGCATCCTCCTCATTGATTACAGCCGGAACACCATGGCATCCTCCTCATTGATTACAGCCGGAACACCATGGCATCCTCCTCATTGATTACAGCCGGAACACCATGGCATCCTCCTCATTGATTACAGCCGGAACACCATGGCATCCTCCTCATTGATTACAGCCGGAACACCATGGCATCCTCCTCATTGATTACAGCCGGAACACCATGGCATCCTCCTCATTGATTACAGCCGGAACACCATGGCATCCTCCTCATTGATTACAGCCGGAACACCATGGCATCCTCCTCATTGATTACAGCCGGAACACCATGGCATCCTCCTCATTGATTACAGCCGGAACACCATGGCATCCTCCTCATTGATTACAGCCGGAACACCATGGCATCCTCCTCATTGATTACAGCCGGAACACCATGGCATCCTCCTCATTGATTACAGCCGGAACACCATGGCATCCTCCTCATTGATTACAGCCGGAACACCATGGCATCCTCCTCATTGATTACAGCCGGAACACCATGGCATCCTCCTCATTGATTACAGCCGGAACACCATGGCATCCTCCTCATTGATTACAGCCGGAACACCATGGCATCCTCCTCATTGATTACAGCCGGAACACCATGGCATCCTCCTCATTGATTACAGCCGGAACACCATGGCATCCTCCTCATTGATTACAGCCGGAACACCATGGCATCCTCCTCATTGATTACAGCCGGAACACCATGGCATCCTCCTCATTGATTACAGCCGGAACACCATGGCATCCTCCTCATTGATTACAGCCGGAACACCATGGCATCCTCCTCATTGATTACAGCCGGAACACCATGGCATCCTCCTCATTGATTACAGCCGGAACACCATGGCATCCTCCTCATTGATTACAGCCGGAACACCATGGCATCCTCCTCATTGATTACAGCCGGAACACCATGGCATCCTCCTCATTGATTACAGCCGGAACACCATGGCATCCTCCTCATTGATTACAGCCGGAACACCATGGCATCCTCCTCATTGATTACAGCCGGAACACCATGGCATCCTCCTCATTGATTACAGCCGGAACACCATGGCATCCTCCTCATTGATTACAGCCGGAACACCATGGCATCCTCCTCATTGATTACAGCCGGAACACCATGGCATCCTCCTCATTGATTACAGCCGGAACACCATGGCATCCTCCTCATTGATTACAGCCGGAACACCATGGCATCCTCCTCATTGATTACAGCCGGAACACCATGGCATCCTCCTCATGGCATCCTCCTCATTGATTACAGCCGGAACACCATGGCATCCTCCTCATTGATTACAGCCGGAACACCATGGCATCCTCCTCATTGATTACAGCCGGAACACCATGGCATCCTCCTCATTGATTACAGCCGGAACACCATGGCATCCTCCTCATTGATTACAGCCGGAACACCATGGCATCCTCCTCATTGATTACAGCCGGAACACCATGGCATCCTCCTCATTGATTACAGCCGGAACACCATGGCATCCTCCTCATTGATTACAGCCGGAACACCATGGCATCCTCCTCATTGATTACAGCCGGAACACCATGGCATCCTCCTCATTGATTACAGCCGGAACACCATGGCATCCTCCTCATTGATTACAGCCGGAACACCATGGCATCCTCCTCATTGATTACAGCCGGAACACCATGGCATCCTCCTCATTGATTACAGCCGGAACACCATGGCATCCTCCTCATTGATTACAGCCGGAACACCATGGCATCCTCCTCATTGATTACAGCCGGAACACCATGGCATCCTCCTCATTGATTACAGCCGGAACACCATGGCATCCTCCTCATTGATTACAGCCGGAACACCATGGCATCCTCCTCATTGATTACAGCCGGAACACCATGGCATCCTCCTCATTGATTACAGCCGGAACACCATGGCATCCTCCTCATTGATTACAGCCGGAACACCATGGCATCCTCCTCATTGATTACAGCCGGAACACCATGGCATCCTCCTCATTGATTACAGCCGGAACACCATGGCATCCTCCTCATTGATTACAGCCGGAACACCATGGCATCCTCCTCATTGATTACAGCCGGAACACCATGGCATCCTCCTCATTGATTACAGCCGAAACACCATGGCATCCTCCTCATTGATTACAGCCGGAACACCATGGCATCCTCCTCATTGATTACAGCCGGAACACCATGGCATCCTCCTCATTGATTACAGCCGGAACACCATGGCATCCTCCTCATTGATTACAGCCGGAACACCATGGCATCCTCCTCA